GTGCATCTGGTGCAGTCAGAGTGCCCCCATGACATCTGGCTTTCTCTCATTTAAACGTCCACCCACCCCACTGTCTGAGAGAACCACAGGAGGCAGCCAAAGAAAACTGTTTATTGATCTATAGGATGGCCTCACATTGCCCCCTCTTCCTAGCTCATGATTAGTGGCAAGATTAGTGACTCGAGCTGTTTAAAGTTATGCATCAGGCAAGAATTCTTAGACTGTGTTTTCCAGGGATCTTATAGTCTGTTGTCCATCTGACACAACTCTACACAATTCTACATACCTATACACAGTTCAAGTCCTGGCCCTTTCACTGTGCATCTCGCTGCTCTCCTTCCTGGTTGGGTAATATTGAGTTTGCACTTGGACTTTCCCTTCTGTTTTTACTCATGATTGGGCAGCTTGGGTCCCTTCTACAATACTAAATTTGTGGCTTATGATTGGAGGGCCAACTTGAATCCCTACCACTGTCAATCCACCTACCCATTACCTCCTGGTTCATGACTGGGGGGGGGCAATTTGAATCCCTCCCACCCTTGCCTCTTGGCTCATGATTGGTGGGGCCAGCTTGTATCCATCCCAGTGATATCTTGGCCATCCCCTACCTCCTGACTGATGATTAGGGCACCAGCCTGTACCCATGATTGGCAAACCATGCATTCCTTCCCACCCTTATCAATGAAAATAGGGTTTGTGTCCCTCCCTTTTTCCTGCAATATCCTTCCCTAGGAGCATGGCCCTGAGCTACCTTGTCTAATAAAGAAACTTGACTCAGAGTTGTTGTACATAGCATTTTATTGAGCAGGTATCTCTCCTCAGAAGCACCCTCGTATCTTAGACAATGAGTAGACAGACAGCAGAGACATGTGCAAAGTGCTTTTGTGTAGCTGTGCTACAGCTGATGCATAGCTGTCTGACCAGACCAGCTGCAGGACTCAGGCAGTTCAGTGGCTGCAGTCACACATGGCTAGGTGCTTTTGGAGCTGCACCTGTAGCAAATCCGGATCAAGGTGTGTGTACCGGTGAAAAACATCCTTGAGCCTTGTCAGGAATTAATTTGGGGATTCTGTGGAGTTTTTTTTAACAATTTCATATACTCTGTGAAAGTTTCACAGCCTTTGGCACTCTTAGTTTGAGGCCATGAATTACAGCACTTCTGAAGGGCCTCTCGATATGGTGGAAGATCTTGTTTCCAGTTAAATAAATCAGCAGTGGGGAATGGGAAATCAGGGAGCAAAATCAGGGAGCTGGACAAGGGACAGATTGTATTTGTCTTCAGTGTGGAAGGGATTGTCACTCTCGAATTGGCCTTCTCGGCCACACTAGATGCTGTTCAAGGTCTTCCATGCTGAGCACATTACCATGGTCTCTCGAGACTGAAGGATGCCTACTACTGGGGAACGGGGTATGGGCCAGAACTAATTTATTTCCCATTGGAAGCACCATTAAGGGGAGAACTTTCTCCACAGGTTTAGGTGTAAAGCGATCTGGGGGCACTCCCTGCATGATATAGCACATGAACAGGTATTTTTAAAGATAAAAAACGCTCTTTGGAATTCAACTGTTATGTACAGATTGAACAAAACTACCCTGAATGACATACATAGGCCACAGCATGTGGAAATGATACCAGGAGCCAAAATGATCTACCAATTTACCGAAGCAGGTTGTATAGATTTTACAAATGTTGTTCTACCTGTCATGTTCAGAACATATGGCCATGAACCCAGTTCTCCTGAACCCTACACTATTCACAGCACAATTGTTCTCCAGTTTTATAATACAGTACACAAAAGAAGTATTATGTACTGTACTTTAAATCAGATTCAAAATTTTAGGATTTGCTGCACACCCACCCTGACCATGGATTACTATACTGCATCTTTTAAAAAATCGGAAAAGTATACACAACTGTACTCACTTATAATCATTGCTAGTCACTCCTAGCCATTCCCTTTATGTTATCTGGGTTGGAAATCCTGTGGTCCTCTACACAGACCACTAATCTTGTTTCCACCAGGACCACCCTGCTTGGTTGAGGGGAGTAATATCTGGCATGCCATAGCAATATCTGCAGCCCTATCACATGTTCCAGGCATGCAGCTTCCCCTACTTGCAGAATCTCATTAAGTAAACCCTCCTTCATGAATCAAACTGTTATTCAAGATGCCTCAAAACTTGATACTGAAAGATATGAAATGAGGACATTCCCAAACAGGTTGATACTTAAATTTATAAATGTACAGTATGTGTTTTATATTACAAGTGTTTGCGGATATAAATGTGTCTTAGAGATAATTCCTGTTTCTGACCACCTACCACAGGTGATGGTGGTGAAAGTCTGGACTATTGAAAATTTATTATTTTATTCGATATTTAAACAGTTATCAAGTTTAACCAATAAATCAGTGTATAAATCAAGACTACTTTCACTGACGATTTCTCTACATAACCCTATTGAGACGTAATTTAAATAAATATTGTTTAAATTAATAAAATGTCCTAGATCTTATCTAATTTTACTAGGACTCCTTTTTTAAATCGGCTTTATACTGAACTAAAAATTAGTTAATTCTACTACTGCTACTATTTAATACAGTATTTAAAATCCGACTAATTAATTCAGAGCAACATAGCAGGGCAAGGATCCCCAATACCAATCCTCTCCATCCGCGCAGCAGCTGAGTTCTCGCCGCATGGTAAGGTCTCGCGCGAGCTGCGAGAAGGCGGAAATTCTCGTGGGTAGAATGCCCGAGCTCGGTGACGTAGGGCTTGTGGGTGGGGGTAGCGTGGCCCGTGGGTCGTCCGTTACTCCAGTCTCGCCGGAGGGTGGGGGGGCGGCGGTGGCATGGCGAAGACAGTGGCCTACTTCTATGACCCGGATGTGGGCAACTTTCACTACGGTGCGTGTGCCGCGGGGCATAAGCTGGAGTGTGTGCGTTGGGGGGGGGGGGGGCGCGCGGCGCTTTTTTTAGCTTCATTGGTTGAGGACGCGAGCAGGGAGCGGAGTTGGTCTGGGGAAAAGGGTTACGCTCCCGAGGTACCTCAGTACAAACCAGGGCTCGCTTTTGCAGGCCGGGGGGGGGGCAAGGAAGGAGTCCGCGCCTTTCTTCAGGCTCCCGAGGCTCTCCATGCTTTTCAGAGGAGACCCTCTCCGAAAGACTTCCCGGCTTTGAGGGGAGATGCAAAGCCTGAAGGTGGTGAGGGCTCCTGCCCAGATCATTGCTCCATTTAACGTACACGTCCAGTGGGAGCCCTTCAAGAGTTTTTGTCTTTAGGAACAGTACTGGTTTTAAAAGAGTTGTCGCAGGCGGGTCTGTTAACGGGCTGTGGATCAGTGGGGTTGCAGTCGTGAAGCGCTGAGGGGTCCTTCGTGTGTTTAGGATTCTTTAGCCAACCAGTTGCCCAAAGGACTGCTTAAGTACCAAACGAAAACAAAACACCCATCAAACAACAACAACAACAAAAACCCCAAGAAACACACACCCTGATTTGGCCCTCAGCTTTTGGAATTAACACACTAGCCAGAAGAAAGTCCGTTTCCTAGAATCAAAGGTACAAAATGCAGTGAGCTGAGTGACCAGTGAGGTGGAGTAGTATTCTGGCATTGAGTGTTCTTCTCTCTTATGGTAATAATATCTGTATTTCCATTGATAAAAATCTGGAGGTAGTGGATAGGTTTACAACCAGAATTCTGCTATATTATTGATACTGCTCTATATACAGTGATTTTGTTGTTTCTATTTAGTTATTGTTGGGTACTTTGTGTCGTGTACTGTACAGAATGACATACTAGGATTCAGAAGTCCTCGGTTCTAATTACCACTCATCCATGGAAACTAGTGGTAGGGGACTGGAACTGGTAAGACAAGTTGTGATGTGAGAATGTTGATGACATTATATGTTTCTCTTTTCATTTTAGGAGCAGGACATCCTATGAAACCGCATCGCTTGGCACTGACCCACAGTCTGGTGCTGCACTATGGCCTCTATAAGAAGATGATTGTAAGTAATGAGCAAAGCTCTGCTTTTAAGGCACTAATATTCATTTAAAACTACTAATACCCATTTCTTTGCAGTGTGTCCAAGACTCTCACATATAATACAGAAAAAAAAAAGTTTTAGCTAGGAAGAGAGGTGTTCAGATTTTGCCTGTCTGGCTTCTGATGAGATAAAGTGTCCAACTTTGAAGCTGGGACGGTTACTTATTTATCAATTTATGTTATTAGTTATTTAAAACATTTATACAGTACTCCCTTTCTCCTCAAGTGATGCAAGGCATCTTGCAATATTGGAACAAGCAATATTTAAGAACTTCTTTAAAACAAGCCTCATTTTTAGGAACAGCTCCATTGGCAGCCAGTTATTGCGAAAAAGACTGCCTGAAAGGAAAGATTGTGGAAGGACAGCAAGGAGGGGGGCATCCTAGTGTCCTGTGGGATGGGGGTTACACAGTTTGGGAGCAGTGACAGAGAAGACCCTGTCTTGTAACGTCACCACATGTACCTGTGAGATGACTGAGAGAAAGGCCTCTGATGATTTAAAAACCCAAACACACTTATAAAGGCAGGTGAGATCTTTCAGGTATGTTAAACCCAAGCCATTTACGGCTTTATATGTCAAAAACAGCACTTTGAATTGTGCCTGGAAACAGACTGGGAGCATTTTAAAAGAGGAATTATGTGAACCCTGTAACCAGCTCCAATTAACAATCTGCTTGCAAAATTTTGAATCTACTGAAGTTTCCAAACTCTTTGCAAAGCCAGTCCCAGATAGAGTTCATTGAAGTAATTCCAATGGGATGTATCATAAATAATTCTAGTTACCTGTAGGCCTTCACATTTACTATGACATAATTGTAGGGAAATAAAGTAGTTCTCCCGTACCTGTAAATGATCCATGATCTACTATAGATACCTGAAACTGCAGATATGAGGGAACCTATTGAAGGGGAGGGGAGGGAAGGGTGCATTTGCAGCACAGACTGGGTTGCAGTGGCAACAACCACAGATAACTGAAACTGCAGATACCGACTCTGTGGATAGTGGGGCTGCTGTAAAGCCACAAAGGGGAGAACAATATTAAGGAGTACAGCTTAAACAGATCTAAAAACATTCTGATAAATTTGTACAGTGAAAACTAAAATAAGAGCTAAAAGGAAAATTAAAAGTTTAGAATTAGAGATGGGGGTGTGGGGGGTATTCTCTTATGAATACCCCCACACAGGTGGCAATAACAAGGGTCCAGCCCCATGGGGCCGGATGGTCCGCTCACAGTTCTGCCACCACCATGACACGTGTGATCCTTCCAATGGTTCAGGAGATCACGATCGGCTCACCACTCCTGGGAGGAGGTGAGACAACAAGCCTCTCTGCCAGGTCAAAGAGTAGCTCGCTGATCGCAATCTCTGGAGCCATTGGAAGGATCGCGGAGGTTGTGGCAGTGGCAGAATTATGAGTGGACCATCCGGCCCCATGGAGCTGGACCCTGTGTTAACGCCACCTGTGCGGCAGGCTGCAGTTCCAGATGGAGGGTGCAAGAGGCGCTGTCTTGGAGGAGAGCCAGCGAGCGAAGCGTGCTGCCAGCCCTTTTCCGCAAGTGCCCGAGCCACCACTGAGCGATGCCTGAGAGCGGAGCTTGCCCCCAGCCCATCTTCAAAGAGCGCCACTAACAGCGCCCACTGAGCAATGCCTGAGAGCGGAGCTTGCCCCCAGCCTGTCTTCGAAGAGCGCCGCTAACAGCGCTGACAACAGCAGCTGCCGCCGCCACCTCTTCCAGGGAAGCAGCTCTCTGGCTCTCTTTCTCTCTCGGCACCCCGAGAACCTGCCCAGCCAGCAGCCATCTCTGGCTCTCTTTCTCTCTTGGCACTCCGAACACCAGCCCAGCCAGCGGCCGCCTCAGCACCCAATGGTGCTTCCTCCTCCTCCTCCTCCTCTTTGTCCTGCTTCAGCCGCCTCGGCTCTGGAGGCTGCCTGGGCTCGCCTCTCAAAGTTTGCTCCTCTGTTGTGGTGGGGGTAGTGGCTGCTGCTGAGTGCACCTTTTTTGAGGGGGCCCTCAGGAGAAGGTTGCTGGACCTCCGTGTGTGTTTGTGCGTTTGTACGCCTGCAGGCGTGCACCTGTGAGCGGGCCCACCCCTTTCTGTTTAATTTCGTGGGTACCAATTGGGCTGTGTGTGTGTGTGTGCGCGCGCGTTTGTACGCATGCATGCGTGCACCTGTGAGCGGGCCCACCCCATTCTGTTTAATTTCGCGGATACCAATGGGGGCTGGTGGTGGTGGTAGTGAAGAAGGAGCTGGAGGGGGTTGTGGCCAGTGACAAGGGCTCTCGCGCCCCTCCTTCTCCTCCTCCTTGGAGCCCCAGCCAGGCTAAGGAAACTCCTGGGCAGCTTCCTCGGGCTCTTGCTCCGCTTGGCAGAAAATCTGATGTGGCCCACCCTCACCCAGACTCTGCCTTCAGCGGCCCCCAGGTAAATTGAGTTTGAGACCCCTGCTGTAAAGCATTACTTTGGGAGGCTTTTAGGAACAGAAAAAAAAACAATTTTCTGTTTTTTTAAAACTCAGAGAATCCCTGGAATGGCCTAGTGGACTGCAAAATCATCATCATCTTGGGATCACATGCAACTTTGGAGCTGCATAATCCCAGGCATATTTTTTCTTGCCCAGAACCTACCATCACATGCATGAAATCTGTTCCTAAAATTGTCATGCCTGTGAATATGAGTTAGTTGAGTTTGACATATAACCTTCAGAAAAGGTAATCTGAGGGTTTGGAACACACTGTCCTTAGTCTGCAGCTAAAATGCAGCTCTCTGTCTTCTAATGTTGGTATGCTCATTGGGTTTCCAGGCCTATGCAGTAGGTTAAAAATTTCAGTAATGACCTGAAATGGTGAGAGCTATCAAATACTGTAATAGTTTATTTCAGATAAAACAGATGTGGTCTGGCCAGGAAAGAAATGGGCCCTGCAATTAAAATTCAGCCTAGATTTGGCTGGGATTGTATTCTCCCTGGAAAAAAAATGTATGCTATTTTGGAGGTGTTCTTGGATTCAAATTTGCACCTAGATGCCAGGCACTGGCCAGAATGTGGTAGCAAATGTACTGATACCAATGGGTTCCTGAACATCAGGCTGTGGTACACAGTTTCAAGTTTAGTTTCTGGAACATTTTACAGGCTTCAGTAGCATAGGTCTCTGATACTTGAGAGGTGACGTCCTTCCATGTCAGTTTTCTTGCTTTGTCAGACTGGAAGGAGAGGCCACCCTTTGTAACTCTCCCAAGGCTGGATGAACAGTTGTTTGGTCCTTTTCAGCCACTGCCCCAATAATGTGAAACACACACAGTTTCAAGTTTAGTTTCTGGAACATTTTACAGGCTTCAGTAGCATAGGTCTCTGATACTTGAGAGGTGACGTCCTTCCATGTCAGTTTTCTTGCTTTGTCAGACTGGAAGGAGAGGCCACCCTTTGTAACTCTCCCAAGGCTGGATGAACAGTTGTTTGGTCCTTTTCAGCCGCTGCCCCAGTAATGTGAAACACCTTTCTTTACAAAGTGTGGATGGACTCATCCTGTCTTTTGCCAGCTGGAGAAAATACTTTTATTCCTCCAAGTTTTTGCCTTCTGAGTGCAGATTTTTTGTTTAAAGCTATGTTTTACTTGTCAAGTTTGCATTTGTATTTTTCATTTTGTGTGTGTGTGTGATAAATTTATTGAATCTCTTTTATCTGCTTCGTGACACAGTGGTTAAACTGCAGTACTGAAACCAAAACTCTGTTCATGACTTGGATTCAGTCTCAGGTAGCTGGCTCGAGGTTCACTCAGCCTTCCAGTTTTCTGAGGTTGTTAAATTAAGTACTCAATTTGGCGGGGGGGGGGGGCAGTGTGTAGCCTGCTTAATTAAAATGTAAACTCTCCAGAGACTGCTGACTGCTTTAAGCATTATGGAGCGATATATAAGCAGCATGCTTTTTAATTAACTATTGCATTTTAAAATTCCTGTTGACTACTCAGAGTGGTGCATGAGTCGCACAAGGGAGGTAGATCAATCGCTGTAAAAACAAAGTAAATATACTTGAGCAGAAGGAGATAAACAGACTGAAATACAGAAACTAAAAGAGTTGCATTGGTCATTATCAAGGCAGTATAAATGTTTTTATACACAAACATTTTAGTGTTGGTAAGCTAATTAACGGTACATAATGTGGTAAAATCCACCATTTTGATTCTAGTCAGAAGAAATGGAATGGAATTTTCTAATAAATTACTGCTCAGCCACTTTTTGCTGGAGTTTTGATGATCAGGAATCATCATTAAGATCATTTGCTGTAGGAGTGACCATACTTCACAAATACAGACTTGAAGTCTGCAACTGAACTCAGGTGTAAAATAGTGACTCAGAGGCAAATGTAACTAGAGTCAGGAGCTTTGTGGTTTGTACAAAGAACAGCACCACAAGTGGTGCTGAGGTCCTTTCTCCTGCCCCCCAGGCCACCTGCTCCATGTGCTGCTGGGTCCTTCTTTGGCAGCAGTTCTCCAATCCAAGCAGGACCCCAGCCAGCCTTTCCCTGCCTCCTCAGGTAGCCAACCACTCTGATGAGGAGGCAGAATGGAGAGTCTCCTTGCACAGCTGATGGGAGGTTAGCTATCTGGGGAGGCTGGGAAAGACAGTACTGTAAGTGGACTAAGTGGTCGGTGGAGGGAGATGGAACTCAGCACTACCTGTGGTACCATGCTTTGTACGAAGCAGAACACTCCCAACTCTAAATGTAACCCATGGTTTATTTCAGCCCAGAAATTTGCAATGTGTACCAGCACAGTTGTTGTTGGTGGATAGCTCTTTTTCATTCAGAAGCTACCTCAATAGTAATCATTGGAAGTTTTTGTTTATGTACAATTCTGATACTTTATCCTTTTTTCATTTCCTTCTCCTGTGACCTTGCCCTTTTCTTTCTTTCTCATTATATGTGTATATGTCTGCCATTTCAGAATTATATTCCATAGAGTTGATGAAATGGGCTCTGATCCATATAAGCTTGAGCCATGAGAGATGCAGGTGTTTTTAAGGTGTCATGAAATTATTAGTTATTTATGGTGTAACATACAAACAGAGCTACTCATCTGGAAACTGTAATAGAATGTGGAACTGACTCTTGACATTTGTACATGTGAAGGTCTTTCTTATTTAAAGTCAGGTCTAAGTGTGTTTTTTTCCCCCTTGCAGGTGTTTAAGCCATATCAAGCATCCCAACATGACATGTGCCGTTTTCACTCAGAAGATTATATTGATTTCCTCCAGAGAGTGAGCCCCAACAACATGCAAGGATTCACCAAGAGCCTCAATGCTTTCAATGTTGGAGATGACTGGTAGGTATTGAAACCACTGTTTGTACGGTTTGAATAGGTCTTGTGTTACTGAGGCAGCAGTGGAAACACCACTGAAGTTCTGTGTCCTCTTTGTATTAGAGTTGCACTAGAAGCTTGTGCCCTCATATTTGATTGATTATTTAAATTAATTATGAGAGTGTCAGTTCCCCATATTCTGAGCATTCTTCTTTGCTTTGTTTCATGCCATATGGTCATTCTTTATATAGTATTTCTCTTGCCTCTTCATCCTTCTTTCCACAAACCTGGCACATAACCCTTTGGCTCTGGCCTATATATGGTTTTAAGTAAGCCTCCTTCCTCCTTTTCAGCTTGTTTTAGTGGTGCATTGCATTTCTCACTGTATCTGAACTATATTGCTTGCATTACAGTTTTGAAGTACAGAATAGAGAAGTGCCATACTGAAATTGTCTTTTAAACTATCTCATACTGCACATAATTTAACTATGAATCTACAAACATACATTTCTTTACCAAACTAAATAATTTCAGCATATATTCTGAGATACTTCAGGAGCCTGTGAGATATAGAAGTGCCTTTTGTTATTTTTGGCCAGGAGGCTGTTTTGTTGCTGGTTGGGCAGAAATACAAAGTTGTGTATAATGATTGCCTGAATGCTATATATGAAAACCAGGATGAATTTTGTCAGTGTCCAGAAACTAAGAAATACGTCATTTCTTGTTGACACTAATTTAGACCTGTTGGTGACAAGTCTCTGATGTATGATTGACAAGTATGAAACTGGTATTTATATTTTACTGTTCCAAAAGTTTCACATACACATTTGGACATTCATTATAATATGCATATCCTGCTGAATCAGTTTGTGGATGCTCTATTGCTTTTTGTCTATGCACATTTTTCACTCTATACAAATCAAAATTATTTTTGTAGGGAGGGTTCTGTTGCTGTTTCAGTGGTGGCTGAAACTATTAATTGGAAAATGTGTTATAATGGGATTAGTTGAATATACTTTAACCAGAAATGATGACAAGTAAATTTTGGGGAATTATGTCAAAGGATAAAATCAAAATTGTACAGGTTAACAAGCCAGGAGAAAAACTGGTTACATTTGGGAACTGACATGAGATGTGACAAGTTACACTTTTCAGAAATAGTTAAATGAAATCTTTAATAGTAATAGACCCAGTATTACAATATCAGCTAGAATGTTGGTTTTAGAAAGGAGGGAGTACTGGAAAGTTGTTGCCAAAATGTAGAGATCTCTGGTAGGACTAGTATGAAAAAGCAACAAAATACTGGTTGAGAAAAAAAATAACATTCTTTTTTAGGCTATAATAGAATACCATGAAATGCAGAAATGAAAGAGTGAGAACGTAGAAAGATGGATGCACTGGTATTATAAAGGTGGTTTTAGAAGAGAGCTGAATGAAGTGTTGGTATGTAGAGAGACCAGCTGAAAAAAATTGCAAGGCAAGAATTTTATGTATCTGCTCTGTGAACATAAACTGCCCTAGGATTGATAGTACTGTATGTGGGAGTTTGCTTTTCATTCAATCAGGCCATTGTCTAGTCCACTTTTGTAATCTTTTTCTGGCAGTGGTTCTCCAGAGTTTCTGGTAGGATACTTTTCTGGCCCCACTTGAAGAGTGTAGGTTTTGCTTGGGTCTCCCGTCTAAGAGCTAACTAGGCCTGATCTGGTTTAGCTTCTGAAATCTAACAAAGTTAGGTATGTCCCAGGCAGTATATATGGTAGTACTGTGACACACCTGAAAATCTCATATAGAAATTTCAATGTTCCTAGAATTTTTTATGGAGAAAAGATATAACAAGCAAAATATTATAGACTCTTTCTGACTCGTGAGTAGAGTAGAGATCCCACGCAGCTGGAATTAACAAGGGGCCAGCCCTTGGGACTGGACCGTCCACTCACATGTATGGCAGCGGTGACAGCCCATCTCTTCCTTCCAATCGTTCTGGAGCGCTGCTCGGCTAGCCACTCGGCAGTCTTGCAGGGAGACTCATCCTCCCTCTGCCAGGAGTGGCTAGACAACTGGGAAGAGAATGGTGCTCGGGACCGATTGGAAGGATGAATGGTGGTGGACATGTGAGTGGACGGGCTGGCCCCTCATTAACACTGGTTGCACAGGGATATTTGTATTTGAATATCCATCTCTACTGAGATTATAATTTTTTAAAACATGAAAATACAGAATGTTGTTATTAATTAAGCAGGTTTCCATCTAGCTATGATTAATATGAGTTATAGAATTTAGCTTGAGGTCCCTTGAGTATAGTCTAGTTTCTTGTTATACATTGAATACTTCAGATCTTTTATAGAGCTAGTGCAATTATAGTTCAAGTATGTGTTCAGTTGAATTGCTTCTAGTCCTTATGCCTCAGGTCAGGGGTAGGTACTGTGTTTCCCCGAAAATAAGACAGGGTCTTATATTAATTTTTGGTCCAAAAACACGCATTAGGGCTTATTTTAGGGGGATGTTTTTTCATGTACCACAATCTACATTTATTCAAATACATTCATGTCATCTTCTGGTTACTGTACAATGCTGCACAATGGTGGAGGGGGGGGTTTCACTTAACTGGGGCTTATTTTGAGGGTAGGGCTTATATTACGAGCATCCTGAAAAATCATACTAGGGCTTATTTTTAGGTTAGGTCTTGTTTTCGGAGAAACAGGATAGTGGGCACTGTACACTCAAGATCCCTAGCATCATCATAATTCAGAAATGTCTGTTTTCTATGTATGATTATATTCTGAATGCCAAGTTATTCTGCTGTTGTAACATGTTCTTCAATCATTAGTTTAAGCCCCCTCTAATACAGGCTTGGGTCCTCGGATTACCTTGGGCTAAAATTCCCAGAAGACTTCACCACTAGCTGTGCTGGCCAGGATTTCTGGTCCAAGAATATCTGGGGACCCAAGGTTGGGAATTACTGCTAATAGAACTTAATTTGTTAATGTTTTTGAACTGATTCTTTCAACAACTGCAGGTCAGATGTTATTTTGGATCTATACACTGTGATTCAGTAACAGCATTCTCTGGCTGCAGCCATAGTTTACTGTAGGTCAGGACTATGGATTGACACCTACCCCTTGCACTAGCTAAACAAATCACAGATTTTTGGTTTATGGTTTGTTCATTGTGTCCTCTGAAGGGTAGCTGCCTCTGTTTTCACAGCATGATAAAAAACAACAACGGGCACGTAAGCAGCTCTGTTTTCACAGCATGATAAAAAACAACGGGCACGTAAGCAACTGCTCCTAAACAGCTATGTCTGTGATTTTTAGTCTGTTAAGTAGTTTGAGCAGTCCCAGCATATCAAGGAGTTGTTTCAGCCTTTTCTTAATGAAATTACATTTTGTCAGATATGACTTGGAGTGGTTTTGCCCTCCTGAGACTGATAAATCACCTCTGTGCCTTCCTAGAAAAGCAGATGTCTCCACAGTTTACAAGTGTCTTATTTACATTCACTGGAATGTGTTCTACATGGAGTAATTTTTGACAAGTGTCTGACTTCAAATGATGGAAAATGCAGTTGGTAGTCTGCTGACAGAAGTCTTGACTACATAAGGCCAAAATCATATAGGTTTAATTGACTTCCAATCCATTTCTGAACCTAGTTTTAAACTGCTTATTCTAAATTTCCAAAGCCCTAAATAGTTAGGGGCAAGGGTATTTTAAAGAATGCCGTCTCCCAGCTTGATTGGTTGTTCTTTCATGGAAGCTGTTCCATCATTAGTTGAGGCATGGTGGATACCGTAGTTTTTGCTCCATAAGAGGCACTCCCCCCCAAAAAAAATGTGGGTGGGAAAGTCTTATGGAGCAAAGGCAGCAATTTCGTCCCCGCTGGCCCCGTGGGGGGGGGAGCGTCGCAAGGGTCCAGGTGAGCCTTTCAGGACCCTTGTGACACTCTCCCCACCACCCCACGGGGGCAGGGCAGGCGAAATCACCAGCTTCCAGGTGGGGGGGGAGCGTCGCAAGG